TATAGTATGTCCATATATTTTTCTTGGCAGAAACAGGGAAACATACTACGCATAGTATGTCCATTTATTTTTCTTGGCAGAAACAGGAAGAGAGTTTGCTACTTCCTTTTTCTGGGGCCACTTCCCAGCCTACAGCCTTGGTATTTCCTAATGGTCCCTATTAAGGAAGTTGAGGAGTTGAGCTCAGTTCAGAAGAGATTTTGATTCTGTCTAGTATGTTCCCCTCCGGAAAAACTAGAGGGGGCTCCCCATGTTTCTGAGATAACAAGAGCTGAAGCATGAACCATTTCCCCCAATTCAAGGTCACGTCAGTGAGAGTTTTAGTAAAACATAGACTGCTATAAGTTGTGGTGAGTCATTGGGAACCCTTGGAGACTACAGCAGCACTGAAGTTTGATGGGTGTCCCAAAGGTGCTTTTTCAGGAGGCAACTGGACTTTCTTGTTTTTCTTTGAAGACGTTTCACTTCTCATCCCAAGAAGCTTCTTCAGCTCTGACTGGATGGTGGGGAATGGAAGGATTTATACTCCTTGCAGAAAAACTGGTCATTTGCATTCTTTTAGAGGGTCATTGAGACCATTTGGAGGTTAATCTGTATCTTCAGGGTCACCTGAATAGTAAAAATGGGTGTGGAGCCTTCTTGGAACTGCTGAAAGGACTGTGTTGTAGACTGGAGACAGAGAGATCGCCCATTTGCACCACTCAGGTGACCCAGAGGGCACAGATAACCTTCCAGGTGGTCTCAACGACTCTGTAAAAGGATGCAAATGACCATCTGTCTGGAAGGAGTATAAATCTTTCCATTCCCCACCATCCAGTCAGAACCTGAAGAAGCTTCTTGGCTGAGAAGCAAAATGTCTTCAGAGAAAAACAAGAAAGTCCAGTTGCCTCTTGAAAAAGCACCTTTGGGACAACCCTGACCTGGATGACTTGAGAATCTCCACAGACAGGTTTGATCAATAAATAAACCAGGAGTATGCCAGCAGTTCAACTCTCCCTCACCTCCGGCCTTGATTCCTCCTTTTCTTTCTAGAGACGGCCAGAATATAACTTGGATCTGACAGAAATGTATCGTGTGTACTTGCAGTGGTTGGGAAGATCCCTCAGTATTTAATTTAAAAGTTTGCCTTGTAGATGTGTCAAGACTTCAACAGCACCTGGGCTTGGGAGATGGAAAAAAAAGGATACCTTGAAATGAGCACCGAATGCAAATTGGGAATTTTGAAGGTATTGCTCTTCTCTGCAGCGCGGGTCTGTTTCCTAGTCCAGAGGTCCCCCAACCTTTTGGGCATCAGGGACCGGTTGTGTGGAGAGAGGTTTTTCCGCGGACTAGAGGGGGCGTGGGTTTGTGTGTTGCCTGCATCTCGCGGATGGGGCTTTGCTTGTTTGTGCGGACTGGTTGCTGGCATGCCACGGCCCGGTACTGGTCCACGGCCCGGGGGTTGGGGACCCCTGTCCTAGTCCATTTGCAAGCTACAGCAAACATAGAAGCAGAAGTCCTAAAAAAAATGCAGCTACTTTAAAGAGGCCCTGCGCTTCTACCCATTAAAGGATGCAGCTATTTTAAAGGGGCCCTGCGCTTCTACCCTTTAAAGGATACAGCTACTTTAAAGAGGCCCTGCACTTCTACCCATTAAAGGATGCAGCTACTTTAAAGGGGCCCTGCACTTCTACCCATTAAAGGATGCAGCTACTTTAAAGAGGCCCTGCACTTCTACCCATGAAAGGATGCAGGTATTTAAAGGGGCCCTGAGCTTTTACCCATTAAAGGATGCAGGTACTTTAAAGAGGCCCTGTGTTTCTACCCATTAAAGGATGCAGCTACTTTAAAGGGGCCCTGAGCTTCTAACCATTAAAGGATGCAGTTACTTTAAAGAGGCCCTGTGCTTCTACCCTTTAAAAGATGCAGCTACTTTAAAGGGGCCCTGAGCTTCTACCCATTAAAGGATGCAGCTACTTTAAAGGGGCCCTGAGCTTCTAACCATTCTAAAGCAGGTCTTCTGAATCATTTTGAAAACGTGCACCACTCTGTGGAACACGTTCCTTCTAAACTAGAGAATTAGCGTAAAAGGCCCAAGGAAATTCAAAGTCCCCAAGCATAAAAGTACACAGGTAGTCCTCGACCTACGACCACAATTGACCCCTAGATTTCTGTTGCTAAGCAAGACAGTTGTTAAGCAAGTTTTGCCCCATTTTACGACCTCTCTTGCCACCATTGTTAAGGGACTCTCTGCAGTTGCTAAGTTAGTAAGGCGGTTGTTAAGCCAAGCTGGCTTCCCCCACTGACTTGGCTGGTCAGAAGCCGATCACATGACCACGGGACACTGCAACCGTCACTGATACAAACCAGTTGCAAGGATCCAAATTTGGATCACGTTGACCAGAGGAAACTCTCCCAAAAGACCAGAAACCTGCAAAAAAAAAAACTGTCATAAATTGTGGTCATGTCACTGCAGAACACCACAACCAGCCATAAAGGCGAGCCGGTTGCCAAACACCGAAAAAGCAGTCGTGTGACCACGAGGGATCGGGAACCGGGTCATAAATTAGTTTTTGGGGACTCCGCGATGACTTTGGACGGTTGCTAAGCCCCCCGTTCGTAAGTGGAGGACTACCCCGAGGCGTGTCGAAGGATGCGCTTCGGATGTTCCCGAGAATATTGTAAAGTGTTCCTTCTCCTTTCCCCTTCCCTGTCTCTTCTCAAGTACCTTTGTGAATGCCAGTTCGACGACAATCTAAAGTTTAAGAATATCATCAACGAGGAAGACGCCGACGCCATGCGCCTTCAGCCTCTGGGCCGAGACAAAGATGGCTTGACCTACTGGTACCAGTTGGACCAAGAGCATAACGTCCGGATGTACGTGGAAGAGCAGGACGATCAAGATGGATCTTCGTGGAAGTGCATCGTCAGGTACCCTCCGTGGTTAATTTCTGGCTGCTTGCTCAACCTGGAGCCCTCAAGCGTGTTCCCCCAAAGGTGCTTTTTCAAAAGGCAACTGGACTTCGTTTTATAATAATAATAATAATAATAATAATAATAATAATAATAATAATAATAATAATAATAATAATAATAATAATAATAATAATAATAATAATAATAAAGTTGGAAGGGACCTTGGAGGTCATCTAGTCCAGGGCTTTTCAACCTTTTCACCCATTGTACCACTTTTAGGATATGGCAACATCTGAGTACCACCAGTCGCCTAGCAAGGTGTCAAAAACTTGACCAAAAAAAAAAAAAAGGGAAAAAAGTGATAAAGTACAGGTAGTCCTCGACTTACAACAGTTCGCTTAGTGACTGTTCGAAGTTACAATGGCACTGAAAAAAGTGCCCCCCAAGCCACAGCCGAGCAAGACACCTGCCTGCCCACCTGGCGGCGCTCTTCCTCCTGTCCGAGGTTTTCATTGTTGTGAGCATTTCTGTTGAAGATTGGCAGCGGGGGTGCGGTGGGGGGTGTTTGGTTTTTATTCCCCCCCGTCTGCTGGGTGGTTGCAGCAGATTTTGGTCACTTCACATGACCCTGGGACACTGTGACCGTCATAAATATGAATCAGTTGCCAAGCATCTGAATGTAAATCACAAGACCCTGGAGATGCTGCAACATTCCAGCTGATCGGCGCTTCTTCAGGGCTCGGTAGAAGCACCAGGATCAGTGCCCAGTTCCAGCTGGAGCCTGGCACTGATCCTGGGGCTTCCGCTGAGCCCTGCAGCTCCAGCCATCTCTCGCTCAGGCTTGTGCGGTGCTGCCACTGGTTCAGCTCATTCCCCTCCCCCATTACCATTTTTCTAGGATGGTTGCGTACCACCTGCCAGGTGCCAATGTACCATAGATGGTACCCGTACCACTGGTTGGAAAGCCCTGACATAGATGACTGAGAATCTCCATAGACATCCCTCAAGCTTGTTGGCTGTGGAAGGCTGGGAGTTAAGCCCAGTGTATTTGGAGGGCACCAGGTTGAGGAATGATGGACTGTTTTTGTTTTTGTTTTAAACCTATCAGCAGGCTCAGGTAATTTTTCCAAAGAGAATCGCTGTGATTTTCCAAACTGCCTGTCTTGCACGGTTAGAAATTCTTAACGGCTGCCTCTAGGGTCCTGTTTAGTTCTGCAACACGATAGGGTCCTTTACGTGGGGAAAAAATAAAGAATTTAACCCTTACCAAGGGTTAAAAATACAGCCAGGGATGTGGGCTCAGCTGGAGGAGTGAATTCTGATCCTTACTCCAATTAAATGTTTGGGGTTCAAAATATTGGATCCTGCTAAACACGCAAATATAGCTGAGGAAGAAGGTTGGGATTGATGCAGCTCTTAATAAGGAATAGAATAGAATAACAGAGTTGGAAGGGACCTTGTGGGTCATCTAGTCCAACCCCCTGCCCAAACAGGAGACCCTACGCCAGTGGTGGCGAACCTATGGCACGGGTGCCAGAGGCGGCACTTAGAGCCCTCTCTGTGGGCACGTGCGCCGTCGCCCCAGTCCTAGGCCTTCAGCTGGGTTTTATAAAACCTTTTTGCTTTAGGCCTCCGCCGCCGTGTACAAAAAAAAAAAAAAGGTTCAATCAATCGGTCAATTTCAACTTCTCGCGGGAAAAAAAAGATCTTGGAAAGTTGGAATTGATTGATTGAACTTTTCAGTCCCACCCAGTCTGCTGTTACCACCGCAGCCACACCCACTCAATGGGCCACACCCACCCGGCACCCGACGATGCATAAGTGGGTTTTGGGTTGCAGTTTGGGCNGGTGAGGGCTTCCTGGGGTTTAATAATAGCCCACCTAAAGTCAGAAACCTCTGTGTGGGTTTTTAAAGGTGATTTGTGATCTGAAGCGAACATCTGTAAATATGTCTCTGAATTGGCTGCTGTTGTCCCTTGTGATTTAAGGCAGTGTTTTTCAACCTTGGAAACTTTAAGATGGGTGGACTTCAACTCCCAGCTGGCTGGGGAATTCTGGGAGTTGAAGTCCACCCATCTTAAAGTTTCCAAGGTTGAAAAACACTGATTTAAGGCACAGGTAGACCTTGACTTACGACCACAGTCGAGCCCAAAATCCCCGTTGCCAAGCGAGACGTTTATTCAGCGATTTTTTGCCTCATTTTACAACTTCTCTCGCCACGGTTGTTAAGTGAATCGCTGCACTTGCTCAGTTAGTAACACGGTTGTTAAGTGAATCTGGCTTCCCCATTTGACTTTGCTTGTCAGAAGGTGATCCCATGATCCTCGGGACAATACGACCGTTGCCAAGCATCCAAATTTTGATCCAAAGGGATGCTGCAACGGTCGTAAGTGTGGAAAAACGATCATAAAGTCACTTTTTTCAGTGCCACTGTAAAGTCAGATGGTCACTGAACAAAGTGTGGTTAAATTGAGGACTACTAAGATGAGATGAGATAACCTTTATTGTCATTTTTTCCTGTGGGCACAATGGCACACATTAAAAATGAAATTTAGTTGCTTCCTCTCCAAGTGTACATATACATAACACACATTTAAAACATACTATATACAATGTATGTATACACCCTTACATATAGGTGCTTTGCCCAGATATTGTTGGCAGCACCTAGCATGTATTATCTGATGAAACACAATTGGACTGGCTTAGTTATTGGATAGGAACCATTAGGAAATACCAAGGCTGTAGGCTGGGAAGTGGCCCCAGAAAAAGGAAGTGGCAAACTGTTTCCCTGTTTCTGCCAAGAAAAATATATGGACATAATTATATGTCATAATAGTATGTCCATATATTTTTCTTGGCAGAAACAGGGAAACATACTACGTATAGTATGTCCATATATTTTTCTTGGCAGAAACAGGGAAACATACTACGTATAGTATGTCCATATATTTTTCTTGGCAGAAACAGGGAAACATACTACGTATAGTATGTCCATATATTTTTCTTGGCAGAAACAGGGAAACATAGTACG